GGCTTAAATCACAGTATAATTTAGCATGCCAGGCCAAAGGCACATGGTAAAAGTATTAATCAATATGATCTAATATGGAAAAGTAAAATCAGCCTTTCTTTAACAGCACTGAGCTCTCCACCAATCACAGACACGGGGACTGCAGACAAACTCCATCTCTGATGAAAAGGATTATTGTTGAGGTCACAGGAATCAAACCTGCAGCTGCTCTTTGGCTGAGTCGGAGACACCCTGTAGTGTGTTTGACACCAGCGGCAGTGTTTGTGTCAAACACCTCTGAGCTCTTTCAGGATCACTGACCAGATACCACGCAGTTTAATAAAGAACAAATCTGATGGTTGCTCCAGGTGACAGTTAGATGACAAAGAAGGGAAGCTGTCACATTATTTTCTCTTTCTTTATTGGAGCTTCGCTCCTGTGGTTGGCGGTTATGATGTCGGCGCTGCTGTGTTTACTGCTCAGCACCGGGTCAGTAAAGAGGACCCGTCTCATATCAGAGGAGTCACTGTTCCTCCGCGCGCACACGTTACCGACCACTCGTTTACGGAACATGAACACGCCTACGTCATTCTCGCGCTCCAGGTTTAAATCCTGTCCCACTGAGCGTTTCATGATAAACTCGGGCTGGAAACAAACAGAAAAGTCTGCAGAGCCTCTGTTTTATGAGCTTCTTCGTTTTTCCATAATTGAGATTTTTTTTATTTCTTTAATTTTTTTGTTTTATTTTCTTCTCACTGACAAAAATATTAACAATAAAACTTTCACTCGCGCAAACCTCACCTCGGTGCAAGATGCAAACATTCAAACTCCAGTTTGATTTTGGAAATATCTTATATTTCTATACGCCGGTCAGACCTCGTGCAGCTGATCTAATGATGAATGATTATTGTCAATTTGAGGTCAATCACGTGCCCGCTTTAAATGATAATAATAGGAACTGAAAAAAACAATAAAGAGTAAAGTTTAGTTCACTGACCTGTTGACGCTGCAGTTGAAACCGAGAGTCGGAGTAACGTCTCGAGGAGCGGAGGATGAGGCAGTACCGGAAGTCTGTAGGAAAGCGCGCGTGTCCGTGTAAAGAGCAATAACTGTGCCACGCTATAATATGTAAAACAGACCTACACAAACACAAAACATTCATCCATGCAAACAATGTTTCAGTGTCTCTTTTGTCTCTTTTTCTGTCACTCGAGATTTTTTCCTAGTTTAATCTGCACAAAAACGGTGAAACATTCGAGCTGAAACGCCGCAGGCTCCGTGTCTCCATCCACGTGATGTCACGCATTTCACCAGTGACTGTCTCCGTGGACTTGGAGGCAGCTCGTGCTCCAGGTTCAAACACCTTCATTAAAAATCTTGTGTTTAAGGCTTTGAAACGTTTAAAAGACCAAAACGTTTAAGACAAATAAATATTTCATATCTGAGGCGCATGTATCAAACACGCTGTTGTACTCAGAGTCAGATCCCTCAGTTTTCAGGTTTGATCATTTTTATTGTACAAAAGTCAAACTCAGACTGTTACTGAGAGCACAGAGGGGGTTTCTGTGGAGCAGATCCACAGACTGACTGTGAAACTTAAAGTGAAACTCTTTTATTACTTTTCTTTCTAACGTTAAAGAATCATTTACACAAACTGGAGGAGATGACAGAAACAGCAGGCAGGTGTGGGAACAGCTGTGTCCACATGGTTTATGTCCATGCAGACGGTTAAAGAC